AGCAGGAATATGTTTTACTAATAAGTCTTGCCTGGAGAGCTTCCTGAAAGCACAAATCCTTCCTTTCCTGAGTATATCACCTTTGCAGCATCCCCAGTTTCCACAGACTAAGGCACGGAACCACCATCTCCTAGATCTAATGGCCCAGAGCTCACCATCTAAACAGCCTTTCTAATCTGCTGATTTTTAAGTTGCAAAAAGAAAACTGCCAACCTGCTGAGATGGGACAAACACGGAAAACCAGAATATCTGCTCCAGGAACTCAGCATTAAGAAATATGGCAGAACCATGGTTTGCACAAGAGGTCGCATTTCTCCAGGTACAACATGCTCTGTGCAAGCTGCAGTTCTTAGGAAGGTTCCTGACTGGGGCTTCAGGATTTAGCAATCCTGTTTCTAGAAAAACCTGCAAGGCCTGGGCAGCAGCAGGGGAGGTCCTGTGGAGCCCTTGGTGAACTGTTGGGCAGGTACTCGTGGAGTGTAGCTTCCAGTGACTCACACTGGCTACCCATGGAGCAGTGCTGCTCTCCCAGGCTGAGATCAGGAGTAGCATGAATGACTAGTGCCTCCCAAAGCTGGGGGGGGATGGCGACAGCCCACAGGCAGCAGCAGCAGTACTGGTGGCAGTGAGTAGGGACCACTTGTAGGTGGTTGTGGTGATGTTGGTGGTGAGGGTGGGCCGAGTGGGGACCACCGCAGGTGGCCACGGTTGGTGTGGGGGGGTGAGCAGTGTCAGCCAATTGGGGGGGGGGGATTCCCCCCGGGGGGGGGGCCCCCCCCCCCCCCGTGCTCCCCCTACACATCACCTGAGGAGTAGGGTTACTATACATTCAGATTTTCCCAGACATATCCTCTTTTTGGGTCATCCTATCTCTGTTTGGGCTGTTTTTTAAAATATTAGCAAATGTCTGGGGTTTTGCTCTGCCTCTGCTTTCCTGGCACTTCCTGGCTTGCCTGAACAAGGAGCTGTTTGGGGCTCGGGGGAGGGAGGGCAGAGCCATCACCTGAGTTTGCACTGGCACTGGCAAGTGCAGGCAGGTAAGTGTGTGTTTGTAGGGACACCCCTGGCTTCAGCTGCTGCCACTCTGGCCTGGCCATGCACTGGTGTGCAAGCACACATGTGTCTGCGTGCCAGGGCTGCAGGATGGAGGTGCCTGCCCCTCCAGCGAGGGAAGGGGGGTAATTCTTGGGAGCAGCAAGGCTGGGGGACAAGGGGCTATGGGTCGGGAGTGAGAAGCACCGGCAGGGATGGCGCGGCTGTGGCTTGGGAGAGAAGGGCAGAGGCAAGGCCCGGGCATATCACTGCCGGCCGCACAATCAAATACTTCTCCCACGGGTGTTCTCTTTCTTGAAACTAGAAATATGGCGACTCTGGTCAGGACCCCATGTAGGACAAGCCAAGAGCAGCTACCGCCTGGGATAACATGGAGCTCGTGACTGCGCGCGTGCGGTCTCCGCGGGGGCGCCTCCAGCTCGCTGCGCCGGGCCCGCGAGAGGCAGCAGGGAAGAGCCGGAGACCAGCTCGCGGAGCTGCCCGTAGGGCCTCACCTTGCGCCTCGGCCGATGCTGCGTTCCTCCCTCGCTAGCCCTCACTTCCGACTCGCTCTGGTGACGCATGCAGTCCTTCCGGGTTGCAGGTGAAAGGTCAGGGGCGGCACCTGGCCGGCCCAGTCGGAGCTGAGGATGTTGTTG